GGTCAAGATGAGCAAGTGCATCCCTTGTTAGAGAAATTAACCACCAAACTCTTCATAGAACCAAGTGGATATTAAACACCAGCAAACAACCCAGTGACCCAAGGCCACCGTATCAGTCTGCCCTTGGCTACCCTTGGCTTCTGCTCTTTGTCATTAGGCGACGAGAAATCAGTTGGTCCTGCTCACAGGCAAAAAGTGCCTTGAGTAGGGTTCCCCATCGCACTGTTCCTTCCCTGAAACACTCACCTGTTGTTTAGTGCACGTGGGTGAGATCTGTAGCAACATGTTTGCTTTACAATGTACAAAACTGTTGTTGTTTAGTCACTCAGTCATGTCTGACTCTTTGTGACCCCAGGGACTGTAGCCCACCAGGCTCCTCTGTCCGTGGGATTTCCCAGGCAAGAGTACTGGAGCAGTTTGCCATTTCCTCCTCCAGGGGATCTTCCCGACCTGCATCTCCTGCATTGGCAGGCGGATTCTTTACCACTGAACCACCAGCGAAGACAGATATAAAAGTGGTTCTACACCAAAGCGAAAGCTTCTCAGGGCTCAAGCCAGCCAACTCTGTGGAGAAGGAGCTTGCTGCATGGAAACATTTAAAATATACCTTCTCCCATCTCCTGGATTCTATGTATACGCAACATAATTTTCAACATTAAAAAACAGGCGCTATAAAAAGTGCTAATTGTGAAAGCAAAGAATGGAGAAATTGGACTTTATTTAAAATTTTAAAGAACTTTCCACTTGTTAACAGACATGGAAAATAAAAAGGCTAAGTCACAGACTGGGAAAAGTCTTTGCAACAGATACCTGATCAAGGACTGATACAGGGAATCGGAAGAGGACTCCTCTAAGCCGGTGATAGCAAGATAAAGAGCCCAGTTGAAAATGGACAGAACACCCGAGCGGATACCTGGCAAGAGAAGCTGTAACTAAGGTAAGTAAGCACATGTTGCTCAGTTACTAGGTCGTGTCCAACTCTGAGACCCCGTGGACTGCAGCACACCAGCCTCTTCTGTCCTCCACTATCGCCCAGAGTTTGCTCAAATTCAGGTCCATTGATTCAGTGACGCTATCTAACCATCTCATCCTCCGCCGCCCCCTTCTCCTTTTTGCCTTTAATCTTTCCCAGCATCAGGGTCTTTTCCAACAAGTCAGCTCTTTTCAACAGATGAAGCTATTGGAGCTTCAGCATCAGTCCTTCCAATGAATATTCAGGGTTGATGTCCTTTAGGATTGACTGGTTTGATTTCCTTGCAGTCCACGGGACTCCCAAGAGTCTTCTTCAGCACCGCACTTTGAAAGCATCGTTTTTTGTTGCTCAGCCTTCTTTATGGTCCAACTCACACATCCATACATGACTACTGGAAAAAGCAAAGCTTTAACTGTATGGACCTTTGCAGTGTTTAATATTAGTCATCAGAACAATGCAACTTATACCTATAGTAACATATTCTCCACACCCATCTGAATGGCTGAAATTAGACTGATGTTACCAAATGTTGCTGAGAAGTGGAGCCACTGGAATGCTCACACATGGCTGGCTGGAGTACAAGATGGCACAGTATTTTGGACAACTGTTTGGCAGTCTCTTATAAAATTAAACACACTTGTATCTTGTGACCCTAGGTGCTTCCCCCCAAGACAAAGGAAAAGACATCTGGAGAAAGATTTGTACAAAATGTGTGTAGCATCTTCAGTCATGAGCCCAGATTGAGAAGCAACCCAAACGTCCATCACCAAGAGCGTGCATAAACATCCTGGGGCATAAATATATAACGGAACACTCACTGACAACTCCACTTACAGAGCCCTGACTTACATCCCTGCAATGGCATTCAGCAGCGTGAAACACGCTGCGCTCAGGAGTGCGTGCTCTAAGCTCCAGCTCTGAAACAACCGCAGGCTACACCGACCTCCGGTGGCAAGCTAAAACCGAGCAGAACCCTGTGGGGACTTGCTGGAGACAGAACCCCCCCACCTCGTGTACCTTGCCTCTTGTTTGTAGAAAAGCTTTTAGCTTCCCAGGCCTTCCCCAAGTTCCAAAGCACAAATTTAATTCAGAGAAATACAAAACCAAAGGGAAAGAGTCAAGCCAGACGGAATAGTAATAGTTTTGCTGTAAAACAAAGTCGAGGACCTTCAGTTCCTCCTCAAGGGCCACAGATGATATTCTGAGCCACATTCCCGAGCTGTTGTGCAGATACTGAAACCCCCACCAGGCGGAAGAAGTTAACTGCATGCTGCCTACAAGCACATAGACCCTGGAGTGGATGGAACCATAAAGTTGATGGTTGAGATTCCAGAAACATCACGCTGTTAGCTCACCACCAACCAATCAGAGAACTGCACACGAGCTGGCCACGCCCCCCCACACCCCTCTCCCTCACACGTGGGGCTTTGAACTTGAGCTGCCCGTTCTCCTTGCTTTGTGACGCCTTGCAATAAACGCTGCATTTTCCCTCACCACAACCCAGTGTCAGTAGGCTGACTGTACTGCACGTTGGGTGAGTGGACCCAAGTTTGGTTCGGTGAAAGAATTAGAAGCAGGGTTGCCTCTGGTTGGCAGGTAGGTGACAGGAAAGCAGCCAGAGAGACCGTTTGGGGGCGATGGACATGTTTTCTTGACTGCAGTTGGAGACACAGGTGTACACATTTTTCCAAACGCACTGAACTCTACTACTACGTGGGCATTTTTACTGCATGTAAGTCATCACCTTTATAAAAGATGGTGCTAAGTCGCAATCTCAGAAAGCCAAAGGCAAAGAGAACCCAATAGGAGCCACTCTGGACTCCCCTACCCTAAGTGAAGTGAAAAGTGAAAGTCACTCAGTCATGTCTGACTCTCTGCAACCCCACGGACGGTAGCCCACCAGGTTCCTCTGAGTTCTGAAAAGTGGAGAAAAGGAGGCAAAGCAAGGGTCAGAGACAAACAGCCTGAGACCTGGCCCATAACTGGGGGGTCTGAGGACGGAGGAGGGACCACCAGTCAAGGCATGCGGTGGCCTCCAGAACCTGGAAAAGGCAGATAAATGGACTGTCCCCTAGAGGTCTCACAAAGCAACACAGCCCAGCTGACACCACCATGAGACCACCCTCCCCTCCACCGCACTCCTGACCTCCAGAACCACAGGATATCACACTTGTGTTTGAAGCCACCACGTTCGTGGAAAAAATGTCCAGCTCCTAAGATCCTTAACCATAGTGTGGATCACACACTATCATGGTTATCCACATATAGCATGGATTGGAAGGACTGATGCTGAAGCTGAAGCTCCAGTACTTTGGCCACCTGATACAAAGAGCTGACTCACTGGGAAAAACCTTGATGCTGGAAAGATTGAGGGCAGGAGGAGAAGGGGGTGACAGAGGATGAGATGGTTGAATGGCATCACTGACTCTACGAACATGACTTTGAGCAGTGTCCGGGAGATAGTGAAGGACAGGGAGCCTGGCATGCCACTGTCCATGAGGTCACAAAGAGCTGGACACGACTGAGCAACTGAACAACAACCCTCCCTCCAGGAAGCTGGTATTTTCTGGAGGACGCAGGGAGCAGGAAGGCCCAAACGACCCTCACACGTGGTCGCTCTGAGCTCTTCCGTGCAGGTGTGAAATTGCCAGCAATACCAGGCACCAACATGCCTGAGTCTCCAGTGGAAGCGCGGGGGCAGGAACCCAGTGGCACTGAAGCTGTTAACTGGGAGAGGGAGGGAGGGCTGGATTTCCTCCGGGTCAGGAGGGGAGAGGCGAGTGAGGTGTCCAGCAACCTGGAAAGGTGAGTCAAGCTCACGGGCCGCGGCCTCACCCTTCCCAGGCCAGAGAGGCTGGGCAGCCGCTCATAGGAGGGCACAGGTGTGGGCCAGTGCGCGCTGGGCACTGGAAGGGTCAGAAAGTCCAGCCTGTACCAGGGGGCTCAGAATATCATCACCAAACCCATGAAAACACGCTCCCATCTGCCCGCTGACCACTGGTCCACCTAGCCCAGCACAACCAGTCTTTCCTTTCAGCGTCGAGTGAGTGACAGCTCTTACCTTAACACCCCCACAAGATGGCAAAGGTGAACATCCCCCTCTGGGTTTAACCTGAGCAGGACTGTAGGAAGCTTAGCACAGACCGACACGCTCACAGAATCACATTCTCAGAAAGGGAACCAGCTGGGCTCCCTCAATGACAGCAGAACAGAGACACATCCCGCTTTTCCGGGCTCGCCTGTTCAGGACAGCTAATTTCCCGGTCAGACTGGCCCAGCGAGACCTGGACTGGGAACCTCGAATGGGCTACCAGACTGCCCACGGACACAGCAAAGCTACTGGCTGCAAAGCAAACGTGGCTACTCCAGCCATAGGCGGCGTCCCAAGACTGGGATTCTACCGGAAGTGGGCAGGGCACGCGTTGACCAGGCTCTTATAAGAAACCACTGCTCTGCCTGTCTCCAGCTCATCTATTTTTTCTCAGCACCGTTTTCTATAAGTGGAGCCCTCTTAACATTTTAATCCACTCATTCTTTTGGCAACCACATTCAGGGCGGGTGTCAGAGCTGTACCTGGGAGTTTGGGGAGGGGCTGGAATGACTTGCTTCGGTGAGCACCAACCTCTTTCTAGCAGTTTTCATTGAGACATCAAACCTCCAGTCCTCAGGGAGGGCCTGGCAGAAGCCGGTGGGAAACGCAAGGCTGCCTGTTATGCAAGTTGGCGTGAGAGATCGATAGAATAGTTCCAAACATTTAATCAACCCCCGAAGCCTTTTTCCAAAAGCTCGAACGCATGGTCCCAAGTTTCCTGGCAAGTGCACTGAGCAGCGTTTTAGCGACACGCTTCCAGGCTGCTCCTCCCGCGCCGCACCGCTTTCCGGTTCGAACAAAGGCCGGCCGCATGGCGTCCGCCGCTCGGAGGATCAGAGATGTCCTCGCCGGGAGCACCTGCCGCGCACTCGACATCACCAACGACGCCGCACCCAGGCCCGGGAGAGGTGGACCACGAGGGCGGGGTCCGCTTACCTGCCTGGCTGTCCCGGGGCTTGCAGTGGACCTCCTCCACACACTCAGCGGGGAACCATCCGATGTGGCCGCGGGAGCTGCCTTCCCAGAAGCCACCTTCGCCGATGCTCAGCACTGCACACGGAAAGGGGCGGGGTTAGTGGGCGGGGCTTGGGGCGGGCGGCTCTGGTCCATTTGCCGGCTGACCACGCCCCCTTCAGCGCGGGACCAAGGGCCTGGCAAAGCGTCCCTCGGAAGGGGCAGTGCGGAGCCTCCGAGCCCCCTCTGCCTGTTAGGCGTGGGTGGCAGGATGCAAGCGCTGGGCATCCCTGTGTCCTTGTATCTTGCAGCACAGGCATGTGGCCACTGCGTCCTGTCCCTTGGGTCCCAGTTGAGACGGGAGGTTGGGAGCCTCCAAGTCCTCATCATCAGTTATTTCAAGGGTCAGAGCTGGAACACAGGCAACCCCAATGAAGAGAAGGAACCATGAGGTCCCGAGATAGGGGCTGGGGAGCAAGAGTCCAGGCTCACAGGAAGTCCTCAGTTAGTCTGATGAAGCAGAATTCACAGCAGGAGATGGAGAGGCAGCCTGCCTGGCGGCTACAGGACACCACCTGAGCTTGAAGCGGGCTGGCTGACGCCCCACACGGGCGGTCCCAGGCCTTCGGCTGGCTTATTAATGAAGAACCCACGGATTATGTTGGTGCTACAAGCAGCAGGGGACAATATACAAATCCTGAATATCCAATGGAAGGACTGATGCTGAAGCTGAAACTCCAGCACTTTGACCACCTGATGTGAAGAACTGACTCATTGGAAAAGACCCTGATGCTGGGAAAGATCGAAGGCAGGAGGAGAAGGGGACAACGAAGGATGAGATGGTTTGATGGCATCACTGACTCGAATGACATGAGTTTGAGAAAGCTCTGGGAGTTGGTGATGGACAGGGAAGCCTGGAGTGCTGCAGCCCATGGGGTCGCAAAGAGTCGGACACGAGTGAGCGACTGAACTGACTGACTGACAAGCAGCCGGGAACCTGTGAAGGGCGGGTGTCACTGTGCACAGCGAAAGCAAGGGACAAGGGCAGCGGGAGACACAGCTGCTCTGCCTGCAGGGCTGAGTGCGCTGGGTTCCCCCTCCCTGGGCTCAGCACTGGGTGCGCAAGGGCCTCAGATGAGGATGAAGCATATTTGTTTTTAAACCTGACCGATGCCGAGCGTCGATGAGCAATGCAAATCCAAAGACAAGAGGGCCCAGGCACTGCCTGGACAAATGTTTGGGTTGTCAGGGATAAAAACTCGGTGGGGAGGGTCTCTGTCTCTTAGGCCTGTGATGCTGGGCTGGGGGCGCTCCCCGCCCCCCCACAACGCCCTGGCTCCCTCAGAGCATGGCTGTGCCGCAGGAGGTCAGTATAATCTCTGCACGTCTGAAGCTTCTGTAAATTACCTGGGAGCCCCAGGCACCAAGGCTGCGGAGGACCCTGACCACAGACCTCATCTTAAAATCCGAGACCAGATAAAGGACGCCTGGACCCATGAGTTTTGAAGGTCAACGGCACAGAGAACATCAGCCTTAAAAGTCCTTGCCTGATAATTTGAAGAAATGCCCGAACGAATGAGATGGGCAAGCTCCCCGCCGGCCAGGGTGATCATAATCCCCCGGACCACTTTCTCCAAAAATCGACGCTGGTCTCCCACGCGGTACAGCCTGGCTGACGTACATCGCAGGGGCCCAGCTCGGATGCAAGAGGGTCATCTCGGAGTGCTGCCCCGGATGGACAGCGGAGGACAGGGACCTGCCAGGGCGCCCACCCACCTGCCTTCTTGGTAGTTGTGAGCAGGCCACTGTGCTGTCTTAGAGGGTCTGGGGGAGGAGGAGCCGTCCAGGGAGACACCCGGGCAGCTCCCAGAACTCCTGCCTCGCTTTCTCCACTTGTCAGAGCAGGAGAACGCTCCTCAGCTCAGAGCGGCCCCAGGTGTGAAAAGGACATGCTAACCTCACAGCTGGGCCCTCGGGCCATCACTGCGCCCCCCGCCCCCCGCCCCCCACCTGCCTCCCACCTCCTCCAGGGACTACACACCCAGATCCCCTAGAATCTGTATCGAGAACACGCTTCTGGGCGTGACTGTTGGCATGAGATCGTGGAGAGAATGAGCGGCTGTGGACAGCTGACTCGAGAGCGGGAAGATGCATGGGAGGATGCCGTCCGATCGGGGACCCTTCCCAGTGACCTCGGGGGGCAGAGGAGCCACAGTCTGTGGGCGAGGGAGGGGGAAAGGGCCCAGGTTGGTCCTGGGCCTCTGGTTCAGCAACGGTAGCTGGGGGTCCTCTTTACAGAAGCAGGAGGCAGGGAGGGGGCGTGTGGAGGGGCGGGGCGGGGTCCCCTCTGGACCAGGCTGTGTGCTAAGTGAGGGACTCACTTCTGTCCCTCAGTGAGTCGCAGCCGACCCTGCTGGCTCATCTGGCCTGCACTCACAGACCGCCGTGGGCCTGCACTCCCGGCGGTCTGTCCACCTGCATCCCTGGGGAGGGGCTTAATGGCTCTGCAGGCCAGGTGCCCCGGTACAGCGAAGAGGGAGCTGGGTTGGGCTCACACATGAATTCTAGCTTTAAGTCACTGAAAAGTCAACACATTACACCTGAGAAGCAACGGTCTTCACTGTCCTTTACTGGTCAGCCAGCTCCCGGAGGCGGAAACAAACTGGCGGGAGAAGGTGCCAGGGGAGCCTCTGCCCCAAAAGGCCCGGCCTTGTCCCCCCAAGACATACACCTTCCTTCGTAAACAGAAAAACAATAATAACCACCCACGCTGGATTAGGCTGGCAAAATTAACAGGCCCCCACTCCCACCCCAGCCCACCCTGCCTGGTAAGCAAGGAAGGACACGACTGAGGGGAGGGGCTGGCCTCTGGGTTGAGAGAGCCGGAGCCCCAGGCCTGCCCGCATTCTGCACCCAGTCCCGGATAGGCATGGACATCTGCACCACCCAGAACTTCAAGCCGTCATCACCAGGAGGAGGACAGTGCCCTGTGCCCAGGCGCCCCTCAGTCCAGAGAGATGTTGGGGTGCACTTTCCCAGAGGCACGGGCTCAGTGTCCGCTGGGAACATTAAGAGCTGCCTCGCAGAGCTGAGCAGAAAAGATGTGAATAAGATGAGAGCTGCGGGTGGTCAGCAGGACCCCAGGGCCCACCCACCTGCCACCCGGACCCCCGCAACGGGACACGATGAATCCCGAGGAGTCTGCCTGGTCTGGGGACTGTTGTTATAGTGGCCTGTGCTGCTCACACGATGGGACCCGATGCCTGCGGCCCACAGCTGCTGGGAGGTTTGCATGGAAAACGTGAGCTGTCCCCAGCGGTGAGCCTGACCAACAGCAGGCACCGATGAGTCTCCACCTGCATCTCCTCCTCTGTTAACACCTCTGACACGTGGACAAAGACACATAGCGCCAAGACATGACGTGACTGGCCCCAGGTCACTGGGAGGGCTCCCCAGGCCCTTCCCAGGCCAGCCTGCTGCAGCCCCCCCGCCACTGGTCCTGAGGGGACAGTGAGGTGGACGGATGGACCCATGGTGAGTAAAAGCCCAGGGCTGCGGGCTAGCTGGTTTCAGAGCTGGGCGGGGCCGGAAGACCCAGTGCTCTGTATCTGGGGGCCCCGGCTGAGGGGGTGCGTGCAGACACAGCAGCCCATTCGGGCCCATTTTACCTTCAGGCGAGCCACCAGATCCCTGCCTCCCGGGCAGCTGACTGCAGATTCAGGGGCCACCCCTCCAGGAAGAGGTGCGGTTATTTTTAGCATCGCCACCACCCAAGGGTCAGCAGGCAACAGCTTGCTCAACACAGTGAGCCCCGGCAGCCTGCCCTTCCCAGCTTCCTGGGAATGGTGGCTGCCCCTAGAGGTGGCTATCCTGGCCGGGGACACTGCCTGCCTTCTGCCTGGGAGGAGGGCTGGGCCGGGGGGCGGTCACGGCTGCAGCAGACGGACCCCCTGTGAGAGCTGCAGGAGGGCCCGCGGGACCCGGGCGTCTCTGGCTCCTGGCGCCCCGTGGCCGCCAGCTCTCCCGGGAAGGGAGCTCCCGGGCACTTTCCACATCCGCCCCTCCCTCGGCCTGCAAGTTGGGGGCAGTGAGAAAGACGCCCCCCCACCGCTTCCCCGGGCAGGAGCAGCCTTCTGAACTAACGCTGCCGTCAGGAGGCTTTTGTCCAGGGATGGCCAAGTGCTTAGCAAGGGCCTTTTAGCTGCCTTCCGTCTGCACTCTGCACGAAGCCATGGGCAGGCACCTCCTTGGGCGCCAGCCAACCAGTCGGCAAAGGCTGTGCCCTGTGGGCGGGTGGCGGGCTGCCCAGACGGGGGCTCTCGCGGGGCCAACTGAAAATTAGCCCACATGCAGGGGGAAAAAAGGCTACCTCACAATGGGCTCTGGTATTAAAATTCCACATTACAAGTTATGTAGTTTAAATGCTTATACTTTAAAAGTTAGCAAAAATGTTGTGTTAAACTCTGTAGAGACAATCAAGGACTTCCAAGCTCAAAGACCCCCCCCGGATCCCACCCTGAAGGCAGCCATAAACCCCGTGTGTGTGCACACAGTTGGGTATGGCTCTGTGTGACCCCAGGGACTGCTGCCCACCAGACTCCTCTGTCCAGGGGATTCTCCAGCAAGAATGCTGGAGTGGGCTGCCATTTCCTCCTCCAGGGGATCTTCCCGACCCAGGGATCGAAACCCTGTCTCTTACGTCTCCTGCACTGGCAGGCGGGTTCTTTACCGTAGAACATGGATAGGAGTAGGCAGGTCTGGTGGGCAGCACGCTCGCTGAGGACAAAGGGGAGGGGAGCTGGACAAAGAAGCCCCTTCTGCACGGCTTGGAGGCTGGACTCAGGGTGGTGCCCAGGGCAGGGCTGTCGGGGGGCACGTGAAGAGAAACCTGCATTCTGAGTCAGCTGCCGAACCAGAATGAAGAAGCCAGGAAAGCAGCCAGCTGGAAGCGAGTGGAGGTGTCCCCACCAGGGAGACAGCCAGAGAGGGGCTGGCAAGCTCGGCACCCCCACAGCTCTGAACAGATGCAGAGCAGCTCAGCTCAAGTTGGGGACCTGAGCTGTCACCCAGGCAACCCTCCACAACGAGAGAAAGAGAAGGAACAGAAGCCATTGCCACAGCCTAACACCCTGATGTCCAGCACGCAACAGAAGATTACCAGACACGAAGACCCCAGAGGATGGGGCCCACGCTCCAGGAGAGAAAACCCGGTGAGCCCGCCCGGACCCTCGGGGAGAGACGACAGACAGGGATTTCAGAGGGGCAGCTACACCCGCCCTCGCTGGGTGGGTTAAACACCACGTGCTTCCGAAGGAGTGAAAATCTCAACAGAGCAACAGGAAGGCTTAGTAAATAGAAAGAAACCATAGAAGAAAAAAATGCACGTGGAAACCGCAGAGTTTAAACATGTTATTTCCAAAACTGAAAAATTCACAAGATGGACTTAACAGAGACGAGGATGTTTTGAAGGAAAGAGCAAGTGAACTTGAAAAGAGACCCATAGCAGTGACCCGAGGTTAAAAAAAATGATGGGAATGAAATGAACAGAGCCCCTGGGACTTGTTGATGCCACCAGATGGTCAAGTTTGCAGGCATCTGGACCAGCAGAAGGAGCTGAGAGGGAGAACGGGGCCCAGCTGTCCTCGGAAACATATAAACCCAGGTGATGTTGGCCAGATGGCTGCACTGTGCGCAGGAGGAAGCAGGTCCCCGCCTGGCCAAGGCCAGATGGGTTGAATTTGACCAACTGAGCCTGCAAGTGGCGCACTCTGCTGCCTGCCATGCGTCTTCTGGATGCCTGTCCTCCAGCATCGGGGTGGGGTGGGGTGCGCCCTTTCCTGCTCCCCCGGTGAGCTCAGCCGCCCCCACGTGGACACCTGCACCTCCAACCTGTGGCCTCCAGGACAGCAAATTCTCCCTAAGGGCCTCACACACCTCCTCTCCCTGGGAATCCATCGCTGGCTCCCCAGGACCCTGGGAACAGAGTCTGACTCTTGGCACGCATGAGGCTTTTCACCTCCATTTCCCAGGATGCTTTGGGCATCCTTACGTCTCACCTTGGAATGTCGCAGGCCCCCCTGATGCCCCTCCCGGAGCCCCAAGACATGTGCTCCGTCCTGTGCTCGGCCCAATCCCCGCACCACCCACCCCTGAGTCCCTGGGAGTGGGAAGGAGCTTCCTGTCGACGCCTCGCCCGGCCCTCCCCTGCCGTCTCTGCAGTGGACTCCCACGCCAGATGGGCACGAGCCGACCCTCCCGATGGACATCAGAGTCGCCGAGGCCGCACCGCGAGGACCACCCGAATCCCCTTTCCACCCTCTCAGGACTCTGTGTCTCCACAGGGGGCCCCGCGGAAGCAATGCCCTGGGGGTCAGCTGAGGCCAAGGCACCCCGGCCTGACCCCACCCCGGAGGCAGAGTGGACACTGACCTTTGACCCTGTCGCCACGGTGCAGGGGGATCTCGCCATCGACCTGGGGTTGGTATGGCTTGACGACGACGAAGAGCCTCCCGGGCACCGCACTGTACAGCTTCCGTCTGGGCCCCGGGAACTCGAAGGCGGAGAGCGTGTCCTTGTTGGCTCCTAGCGGGAAAGCTGGGCTGCGGCATGGAAGGGGGGACAGAGAGAGACAGGGTCATGGCCTGAGACGCGGCAGGGGTGCTGCAGACCCACGGCCCGTCCGTCCAGGACAAGCGTCCAGCCCCGAGCAGTCACAGCGGAGCTCCGGGTTCTAGACGGGGCTGGAGACATGAAGACGCATTTGTGGTTAAAAGACGCAGGTAATTCCAGCAATCCCACCTCTGGGAAGGTACGCAAGGCGTGAGAGCAGGGTCTCAAGCAGATTCTGCACACCACGTGCATGGCAGCGTGACTCTCAAAAGATGACCCAAGTGTCCACTGATGGACGAACCGAGGCCCAAAATGTGGTCCATCCATACGGTGGATGGTCGTTCAGACTTTAAAGAAGGGAGATTCCGTCACAGGCGACACCATGAATGGAACCTGAGGACGTTCCGCTGCTTAAGGGAGGCCAGTTGCAGAAGGACAGGTAACGCCCGACTCCACCAGAATAGGCAACCCGAGCAGTGAGATCCGTGACCAGGGCGGGGGCGGGGCTGGACGCGAGCCTTTAAGGGATCGGGGTTTCGGTTTCGGAACAAGTTCTAGAATGGATGGAGAGGACGGGTGCATGACAACGTGAATGTACTTAACACCACTGAACTGCACACCTGAAGATGCTTCTGGTGGTAAATGTTACGTGCATTTTTCCATACAGAGACTCCAGCGGAGCGGCAACTGAGGCAAGCCCTGGGTGTGTGCCGTCTGACCTGTCTCTAAGTGCCAACCACGCTGGGCGAGGCATCACCCAGAACCCGTGGCACAAGATTTCACCATCGCGGGGCATGCAGCCCCGCCCGACTGCCCTGGAGACATTTCACAAGTGGGACTTGAATGAGTTCCTGTTTTATGTGAGGATTTTACAAAGAGCGTGTGTTTCCAGAGTAACTTCCGGGCCTGACACTGAGAGTGGATGCCTAACTTAACGGCACAATGGTAGAACGAGAGAGAGAAAGAGAGAAAGAGAGAGTGAGCGACGGAGAAGCTCAAGCTCCTGAGAAACGTGCAAAGTGGTTTCCGTAACGACAGCCCCGTCTTTGTGATGGTGACAGGTGACCAGGGCTGACTCCTGGGAGGGGAGGAGAGTGCGTGCTCATCAGGGGTGACCTTGAGGAGTCACACTGAGCTCTCCTCCGGGGGGAGGAGGAGCCATGCGCACGTGGATGAATCTGGGCAGGGATTTATGGAGGATGCCCCAAAGCTTCCTGGAAAAGCGTTCATGTCCGGCTGGCATCCTCCCAAGAGGGCACCCTGCCTGTGATGGGGAAGAGGAGGATTAATAACACTGGGGGCAGAGTCCCACATCGGGGAGCCACATCTGAGTCTCAGGAGGGGCCCACCCGTGTCACAAATTCATCACCACGAAGGGTGGGGTCCCCAACCATGCTCCTCCATTCAGACGACACACGCCGTGGCCTGGGAGCCCCCAGACGGAAGCTTGAGCAAGGTGTGGAACAGGCTTGCAGGGAAGCTTCTAGAATACGACATGACCACTCACTTTGGAGATGTAATGTGAACCCCCCGATTCCTTTTGGGCTTTGCTTTACCCACATCAGCATTCCTGATAAATAATAACATATGTTGCTTTTCGCTTGCGAGAGTTCACGGAAGCGTGACGGTGCTGTGTTTTGTTGCGCTTCTTACGTTTTCGCTCAAGGGCATGACTTTGAGAGCTAGGCGTGGGGGGAGCCCATGTCTACACATGTGATGTGCTCACTTGACACCATAATTTATGCTTGTCAGAGGAGGGGGACTGACCGCCAGCTCTGCCAGCCTGACCCCAAAGCCCAGAGCCCTCCCTAAACCACGGGAGCAGAGGGCAGGTGCGTGACCTTGGCTGGGTGCTCACCCGGGCTCAGGGCAGAGTGGCGACAAGCCGCAGCCCCGTGTCCACACGCTCTCCGTCCCCAGGGACGTCCCCTCCTCTGCCTGTCCCCCCACTCCAGGCTTCTCTGACCAAGACGGAGGTCACAGCATCCTGGAAAGAGATGCCCGTGAACTTTGCACCAGGCAGCTCCAGGCGGCTCCCTCCTCCCCCTCCACCAGATACAGATCGACGCACAGATGCAAAGATCCACCCGGAGGGTCAGAGTCTCCCTCCTCACAGATGTCACTGACACCAAATACTCCGGAGCCCAGAGCAGCGAGGCCTGCAAGGGACAGGTTGTGTGACCGCTGGTCCAGAGGTGAGAGCTGGCAGGACGGCTGATTCACTGAGAAGAAGGACAAGCTAGGCTCCCTGCCTGTGGTGGGAAAGAACCTGGGAAAAGCCAGAACATTCAGAGTTCCCTCCAGAGAGGATGGCCCGCCTGCCTGCCTGTTGGGATGCGGATCCATCCATTCAACCTGCCTCAACTCAGCCTGACTTGGGGCTGGGATGGAAGGCGGGAGACTGCGCCTTCACTATGAGGGGCTGAGCAGCACCAGGCTCTCCTCTCCTGCTCCCGTGTAGGGGGAAGGTAACCAAGTCCTGGGAACCAAGGGAACTCAATTCCTCAGGAAGTGTCTCCTGGAGCCGCTCTACCTAGATCCAAGGGTTTGGAAGAGGCTTGGGGTCAGCAGAGGGTGGGGGCTCTAAGAGGACACCCCGCACCAGGCTCAGAAGCCCTCCTCGACCCGGCCTCCAAAAGTAGTGCTTGGATCTCCCCTGATGCACCTGCCACAGGCGCTGAGCGATGGCCGAGTGGGGTCTGCTGCGTGGGGCTCCTGGGAGGATCCGTGAGGGAACACAGATGGAGCCTGCCACCCTAGCACCCACCAGCTCTGTCACTGCAGCTTCAATAGCAGTTATCACCCTTGCATCTGACTGTCCATCCATCCATCCACCCATCCATCCATTCACCCACCCCATCCATCAGGCATCCACCCATCCACCCATCATCCATCAGCTCACCTATCCATCCATCCACCCATCCCATTCATCATGCATTCAACCATCCATCCATTCATCCATCCATCCATCCACCCACCCCATCCATCACACATCCAACCATCCCTCTATCCATCCATCCATCCATCTTATCCATCATTCTTCCAACTATCCATCCATCCACTGACCCCATCCATCATGCATCCAACCATCCCTCTATCCATCCATCCATCTATCCATCCACCCACCCCATCCATCATGCATTCAGCCATCCATCTATCCATCCAACCATCCATCCATCAAACCACCCCATCCATCAGGCATCCAACCATCCATCCATCCCTCCATCCATCCACTCACCTCATCCATCATGCATCCAACCATCCCTCTATCCATCCACCCATCATCCATCAACTCACCCATCCATCCATCCACCCACTCCATCCATCATATATCCAAGTATCCATCTATCCATCCATCATACATTCAATCATCCATCTATCCACTCATCCATCTAACCATCCACCTGTCTATCCATCCAGCTGTCTATCTATGCATTCATCCATCCATCAACCAACCCCATCCACCATGCATCCAACCATCCATCAGGCATCCAATCATCCATGCATCTATCCATCCATGCTTCTATCCATCCATCCAACTATCCACCCATCCATCCAGCTACCCATCTCATCATCCATCAACTCACCCATCCACCAACCATGAATCCAACCATTCATCCACCCACTCAGTTACCATCCTCCATCCTTCCTACCACTTATACAAACACCACCTATCTACTCTTCCATCCAAATTTCTAAAGAACCCTGCCAGAGCCGAGCTGATCACTTGTTGTCAGATGCTGAACAAGTCAGTTAACCTCTGGAAGTCTCCATCTAGTAAGACAGGATGATCTGGTGAGACCCGAGAATGAGTCGGCAGGAACCGCTCTGCACAGGTGTCGTATGAACACTCCTGCCATTACCACTCTGCTTAGCTGAAAAGTGGGTGATAAGATGCATGTGTCAGCCAGCTGGTTTCAGCCGGCTCCAGAGTATGTGTCACTGGGCAGAAAAGTCAAAGCAAACACGGCTCTAGCCTGGGAGCATCAGTCCAAGCCCGGGAAACCTTTGCTTAAGAACAGAAAGACATTGGTCCTTGAAGATCAGCGTGAGCCCATGGTTCTAGGTACCAGCAGTGATGTGTGGTCCCACACAGATGCTGAAGCATCTTCCCACTCCAGGTTAATCTGAGCCTTGTAAAGCCCCATTTCACAGGTGAAAAAACAGAGGCTCCATAAACAATGGCTTAGGCACAGAGATACAGACCTGACCTCACACCTGGCTCGCTGACCACAGCCCAGGGCTGCCTGCAGGCTCCCCACTCTGGGCGGGGATCTACCAGAAATTGGGTGTCTCCCAGGTTCCAGGCTCACACCGGATGGGGGGACAAGAGGATGCTGGAGGTTACCAGCGGGAGGCTCTGGCAGAGGGTGGCTTCCAGCACAAAGCCCTGTCCCGCTGACAGTGTGTCTGAAGCATAAAAGTTCAGACCCCACGTCGCCCCTTGTACCGTCAGCATCACCTCCCTCTCCGCCTTCAGGCCGGGAAGAAGCGCCGAAGCCCTCGGCAAGCACGTGGCCCTGGGCACCTTGGCCCATGCTTTGCTTCTGGGTCAGTCCTGGGGCCCATACCCCACACTCCATGGCCTCCCCACGCGGTCCTGAGAAGTGCTGCGGGAATGGACAATGACTGGATGCGCCATCCTGCTGGCTGGGGCACCGCGACATGGGGCACGCGTGCACATCGGAGGCTTTCACGGACTCCAGAGAAGCAGGAACCACTGTGATGTCAGAGGTGTGCCCACCTTGGGGCCCGCTGCCTGACACCCCCAAGGCCACCCCAGCTCCAAGCAGCAGGGGGCAGGCACCTAGAGCCCCCGTGGAATGGGAACGGTCTGGAAGGTGCCTCTTCCCTTAAAGCTTCCTCTGGTCTGCTCCGGTCACCCGGGATGCCCTGCCTCTCCCCAACGCCTGGCTGGCCCCTCTCTCCACCCTGGGGGGCGGCCCCCTCACCCCAGGAGGGGTGACCTGCATGAGCTCTGACTCCCGGG